CCCCAAAACCCCAAAACCCCAAAACCCCAAAACCCCATTAGTGAGAAATAGTGAATAAAATTTATACGTAATGTTTCTTCTCAAATAATCTAGAGTTTGTACTCTGAAATCTAATTAAATACATCAGGAAATAAAATTTTACTTTTTCAAAATCCTTAGATGAAACACCAGCAAGATTATCTCTATTTAACTCTTTGGAAATGTAATCTCCTACTTAGCATAATTTATGCACATCAACTCCATGCTCGATTCCAAGTAAATCTAATAAAAATAGGACATCCTCAGTTGCTACATTTCCTGAAGCTCCCTTAGCATAAGGACATCCTCCTATTCCTGCTACACTTGAGTCAATCACAGATATTCCATTCTAGATAGAAATTTAAACTATAATATTTACTCCAAGTGCGACTACTAAATTCTGAATAGCTCTGTCATAAGTATTATGGAAATGAGCAGCTAGCATTCCTCTCTCTAATTTGACTGTGTTGAACAAAATCTCAGTCTTTTCTGCAAGCAAAATAATTTAAAAAAATTTTATACCTGGAGTACCAATCCCAATAGTATCTCCCAATGAAATCTCATAGCATCCCATATCTTTCATAATCTAAGCAACTAGCTAAACATTCTGAGGATCTATTTCTCCCTCATAGGGGCATCCCATAACACAAGATACATATCCTCTAACTCTTATTTGATTTTCCTTTGCCATTTAAATGACATCTGAGAATCTTTTCAAACTTTCCTCCTAAAATAAAGATTTGCATTAACTAAAAGATATCATTACGATTGAGCATTTGATATTTTTCTAAGTAAATGCCTCACTTGCAGCCCCGAAAACAGCGATTTCCTCAACATTGCATTTTAATGCAGTTTCCATACCTTTTACATTTGGGACAAGAACAGGATAACTGACTCCTTCAATTCTATTTATTCCTTTCAAAACCTCAACTGCATCAGCCATTTAAGGTATCGCCTTGGGTGAAACAAATGATGTACTCTCAACTACTTTGAGTCCTGATTCAGATAGTTTGTTTATCAAATTTATCTTGGTTTCTGTTGGAACAAATTACTTTTCATTTTATAAACCATCTCTTGGACTAACTTCAACTATTTTAACAGTTTTAGGGAAATTCTTAAAAAGATGTGGATATGCCTAAAGGATTAATGATATAAGATTTACTTACTGATTTTACCAAGTTAATCTTATTGACAATATTCATATTTTAATTTATATTATTATCTTGATAAAAATTATATTATAAAGTTACTCGGGGTTTTGGGGTTTTGGGGTTTTGGGGTTTTGGGG